TTGTTCGTCTCCCAGTCTTTCCAATCCCCCTTTTCCAATCCATTTTCCCTCTCCTCCTGCTTTTGCCACTAACCATTTGATAACTTTAGGACCAGTGACGAATTGCTGTAGTTCTCAAATTTCGAGTGAGGGAGCTGGGAGCCATATAACGGCTGCTGTTTCAGCATGGGAACGGTTCATGATTCTACGGGAGTAAAACATAACTTTCAGGACAGACCTATGTCACCAAGGAGGCCTAGGGGCGGGGCTAAGTCAGAGTTTTGGCTGGCCTAAGAGTGACACTCTGTTGTCATTGGTTGAGCTTCTAGAGGCGGAGTCCCCCAGGGTAGGGCCTGTCCATGCCATTGGCCCAGCCTCAGAATATTCCAGCTTTGCTTTGAATTGATTTGTGCTCGTAGCCAGAGCCAAGCTCCAGAGGAAAACCTTAGGTCTGCCAGGGGTAGTTTAAGAATATTGAAGTCAGTGTGTCTTGGGGATTAATGGAGTACAGGTCTCCCTGACCTGTGGAGGCAAGCCATCAACATCTGGGCCAGTTGCAGTAGTACGGTATAGTGCACTTGAGTTTCATGTATATTCAGTATTGTAGTCATTTGCCTCTTAAGATGTGTTAGTAAAGTAGGACATTTCAATTTGATTTCAATTTACGTGTTTAATTAAATAAAGTGAATATATTTGTTCCAGTGGTATTCAGTTAATTCCCCTTTTTGGTATATTATCTACTGTCATTTTTATATATGGTTTTGATGTGTTGGTCTAGAAAGTTTCCGTGTTCTTCTCCATTTTATGAATATTAAAGTCGTCCTTGAATCCCCCATCAGTTAAGATTTTCTTTTTAATTCTCAAGATTTATTTGCCAAGATTCTATTGCCCCCGAGTCCATGATTATTGAGTCCCTTCCTTCTTGGGGAAACAATAATTTAAATACATTCATTTATGTTAATGGAAAGGTGGTGGCAGTGTTTAATGAGATTTTAGTTATTAGTTATAAATTAATAACCCCTATTCTTCTTGTGTCCTCCTCATTTAATATTCAGATTATATTCGTGCAGCACAGTGAGGGGTCATACTGAGCTGTAGTAGTGTTAAGCTGGGGTATTGAGTGGAGAGCAGAGAGAGAGAAAGATAAGGGTCTATTACAACATTACCAACGAAGAAAATCATTGCCCGGACACAAGCACATGAAAGATAGGTTTACGCTTGTGCTGTGTTCAAATGCGAGTGGCGATATGAAAAATTTAACCCTTGCTTGTATATCATTCTGAAAATCAAAGGGTTTTCAAACAGTATAAAGTGTAGAAAAACCAAATGTGTGTGATGTGGAGGGCTAATAAAAAGGCATGGGTGACTAAGATTTTTTTTTCGGAGTGGGTGAATGAAGAGTGAAGCCCTGCCATAGAAAAATATCTGCAGGAGAAACATTTGCTACTCAAGGCCCTGCTTCTCCTCGACAATGCTCTTGCTCATCCTCCAAGCTTGGAAGATGAATTCTTGAGGTTATCTTGAGATGATTTCGGGGCTTTAGTGTCCATGCGGCCCGGTCCTCGACCAAGCCTCCACCCCCAGGAAGCAGCCCGTGACAGCTGACTGACACCCAGGTACCTATTTCACTGCTAGGTAACAGCCCATTGTTTTTCGCCGGCGCCCGGGATCGAACCCGGGACCACAAGTCCAGTGTGCTGTCCACTCAGCTGACCGGCTCCCAGTTGTTGCACAGATACAGTAATTTTCTAACAGTAAAGTTCCTTCCTCCTAACACCACTCCTCTAATTCAGCCTATGGACCAGAAAATTATAGTGAATTTTAAGAAACTTTATGAAAGGGCACTTTTCCAGAAATGTTTTGAAGTGACTGAAGCCACAAACCTCATCCTCAAAGAGTTCTAAAAACACCATTTTAACATTTGTAGTGCTTTAAAACTCGTTGACAAATCCTGGCAAGAAGTGACTCAAAGAACCTTGATCTCTGGCTGGAGAAAATTGTGGCCTGAATGTGTGAGAGAACTAGACTTTGAGGGGTTTGAGCCTGTAAATGATGTGCCTATTGTTGAGGAAATTGTTACTCTGGGCCGGCAAATGGGCTTGGAATTGGATGGTGATGATGTGGAGGAGTTGTGGAAGAACACAACGAAGAACTGACCACCAAAGAACTCCAAGCCCTTCAAAAGGAACAGCAAGACGACACAGGTGAGGATGTTTCTCCACTGGAGGAGGATGAGGCAGTACAGAATGTCCCTTCTGCAGACATTAAGAAGTGGTGTCAGATGTGGGAAGAAATGCAAACTTTTATTCAAACAACTCACCCAGAGAAAGCTGTAGTAGGCCGTTGTATATATCTTTTCAATGACAATGTGATGCCTCACTACAGAGAAATCTTGCGAAGAAGGGAAAAATAATCTTCAATGGACCGCTTTGTTGTGAGAAAATAGAGCAGTGAGCCACAACCAGGACCTAGTGGTATGCAGGCAAAACGTGCCAGAGAATGCACCCCTGAGAGGTCCTCACTGCCTGATGTTATAATGGAAGGGGACTCCCCTTCCAAACAGTAACACCTCTCCTCCTCCTCCCTCCTCACCATCTTCCATACACCAACAGCAGTCATCAGCAAGGGTAAGTAATAACTTGAACATACTTTTGTAGTGTAGATTTTGATGAATTAGGTATAAAATTTAGTTTGAAGTGATGTTTTTGGGTAGCCAGGACCGGATTAGTTCACTTCAAATTATTTCTTATGGAGAAATTAGCTTCGGTTTTCGGGTTACGAGCTGTCTCCAGGAACGGATTAAACCCTTAAACCGAGGTAACACATGAAAAAATAATAAATAAAAAAAAATTGACAAGCCGCCGACCGGTGGGTAGAGCACCATGCCGGCCAGATGAAGAAGGCACCAAGAGCACAAAAACTGCACCTACAGACCCACCTCGACAGCAAAAACCCAAGGCCCCGGCACGACCACAACATGTGCCATGACCCAAAAGATCAGCCTGCAAGCCAGGAAGACGCCGGAACCCGAGAAAGAGTTCACGAGGTAACAAAGCCCCCTGAACCCACAAAGGGGGGCCCCCAGAACAAAGAAACCTCTGAAATGTAACCAAAGAACCCAAAGAAACCCGGAATCTAACCCAGGGGAGCGCAAACTCCCACATTTGCCGGCGGAAATACACCACAGAAGGGCAAAGCACAGCACCCAGATAGAACCCCCAGGAAAACGGCCAAAACGGACCGAAAACCGAGAGACAAGGTGTGGGATCAAGCATAAACAGACAGGGACACGGACCCAAACACCAGGCCCAAGACCCAAACAAACAGGAAACGCAAAAACCGGTGTAAAAATCAATACACAAGCGTTCCCAAAGGAACAGAAGATGGGCAGAACACCACAGAAAAGCAAAGAAACAGCAACAGGAGGATAAAACCCCCTGAAGGAGTTGAAAAAACTCGCCCAAAATGCAGGCTCACACACCCAGGCACCGGTAAACAAACAGCAGCGCCGCCAGTGGTCAAGCGGGAAAGTAAACTGCAGAAAGAAAATGGTCTTGCCGTGACCAACGCAATAGATCTGAAAACACACCAGCAAATGTGGGAAGTAAGCAGACCAGAGGGACAAAAAAAAAACTCCCAGAAGCAGAAAACCCAGGCAGGGGCAAACAGCCCCAGAACTGCTAGCGAGCATCCCCCACAGCCCCTGGAACCCGCAACAGCGGCCCTGGGGCAGAGCCATCCTCCTCACCCTCTGCCCCTAAAGAAAAGGATGAATCCAAGGGGAAAGGCAGCAAAAAATGGGTCACTGGTAAGACCCAAAAGCCTTGGCAGGAGGAACAGGCTCGAAAACCTCCATCCCCAACCCAAACGGGGTAAGGGTGTTGCTAACCGGTTAACACCCAAAACTATCAAGGGGTAGATGACAACACTGAAAAACCCCTGCGACGTGTACAATCACGGGGGCCTAGCAGAGGGCCGCCAAACACTACCAGTGGAACTATAGCCACACTAGGCAGACCCCCCACCAAGCAATGCAAATAAAAGAAAAACCCCTCAAAAGTACACTGTCTCCAAAGGCAACAGGAACCAGTCACCGCGTAGGTGGCAGGTCGTGCAACACCTTGACGCCCTAACCAGCACAATACCAGTCCCTGCCCAAGGCCAAACAAGGGTCCCAAGCCCCGGCTGGCCCCAAGGGCGAGGCAAATGCCAAGCAGCAAGAACCACTACGGGAATGGTTCATGAACGCCCCAGGGAAAATAAACCTGTCACGCAAGGGCAGTACTCACAGGGCGCTTAGGGAAGGAAGCCCCTAAGCGCATGCAGCCCTGGTACTGATGAGGAACACCTGGCCACTGCAAAACACAAAAACATAGCAGTGAGCGCCACGAAGGCAAACACCGCGTAGGAAACTGAGGCCAGAGAAGCGTCTGTCCTGGTTGACATTAGCTTACAAACTGGAGTGCTATGTACCTGGTGCGGTGAGGTCCGCCCCCCCCCCTCCCCCTCTCAGGGAGGGGAGCGCTGCGCGGACGAGTGGCGCGGCAGTAGTGTGTTACGTTTGCTTGTTTACTTGGGATTGTAGGAAGTTATACCTCTCTATTCGGTTTTTGTTAGTTTTTTACCATGTGGGGTTTGTATTGTTATGCCTACCTTTCTGGGTGCCTAACCCCGGTCAATGGTATAAGGCAAACCATGCAATGGCAAACACTTCCCCCCCCCCCCACCTACAGGGGGGGGGGGGGGGGGGGGGTTCCAGGGCCATTGCTCCCTGCAACCTCTCTGATGGGGCCAGGTTCTGGCTTATGGGCCCTGGTAGGTCTGAACTCCATAGCTTATGTCCCGGTCTAATATAACATACATTAGCCCGATAAGCTCCAGGGAGCCGTAGGGGCTCCCCACAGAAAATGTCTTATGCTGGAAAATAAGGTATGCATGGAAAAGTATGGGTCAGGGATATAACTTTCAATTCTGTCAAATTCTATTAAGTAGTGTTGTGAAATACAGGAGACGATACGAACTATGAAGCGTGGACGCCCCTCCAGCAGAAGCAGAAAGTAGTGGAGTGGATGGTGTTGGAGGACCAGGCGTGGGTGGATTGGAGGGAGTGAGGCCAGCAGCATAATCTGGGGTTGTCTGCTGCTGCTGTGCTTGTGGCTGCTGTGTTGTCTGCTTCCCATCTGCTTGCTGCTGCTCTTTTCTCTTCTCCTCAGCATCTGCAGCTTTGGCATCTGCTGTGTCTTGCAGCTTTCTTCTTTTCTTGGCCTAATGTTAAAAAAAATCCCTTAATAAGATTCATAAAAGTAGTTACAAGATTTATTACAAAATATATCTAAGTTTCACTAGTTTCACCCTTGCCCTCTACTTTCTCATGAGACAACACTTTCCATGGTAGGAAGACCATAGAAACGTTGTGTGTCTAGTAAGACACAAGGCAGTCAAATGTGTGTTTTAATGATCCTACTCTGGCCAAAGGAGACGAGATCAACTACGTCTTCTTCTCCTAGGGATGAGCCCTGCAGCCACGTTGGGCAACAGAGGTCTCTTCCAGTTTGACTGTTTGTATTAGGGAGTTTTAGGGAAGATGGTAACCTATCCCAAAGGTGGAATACTTGAGAGGTTTCTGCCATGAGGTTAGAATAATAATGGCAACTCTTTAAATAAAATGCTACTACAGTATATGCTTATGAACACTATGGCTAAATTCCACTAATAATCTAGTCAATGAATCCTGGCACTGGATGTCAATTTTAGTTTGTTGTATTTACTGTATATTGTATCAATAATATTATTACAACATGGCTTCAAGAGCAAGTATGACATATACTGAATACTATACTGAAATGTCAAAAGTATAAATGCATCAGATATAATAATTATGATGTGGGGCTCCAGAGCTAAATATCATTCCCAGTAGACACAACTAGGTAAGCATGAGGGGATGTACTTATACCCCAGAATAAAGTCTCTTTAAAATGCTACCAATAAAATTCCCCAACCACTGCTGCCACAGTTTCCATACTTAACCCTTGAGAGGAGATAATTGTAAATATGTATAAATTTTGTTATGACTTAATGCACGCCGCATTATAGTATTTATACTTTTTAAAGTACTGTATTGCACAAGATTTTTTTTTACAAGTCCAGCAGCTGCACAGGGTTCGTATCAGCTACCTCAGGGCTCCAGTAAAACGATGCCATGTAAAAAATAAACAGCATCGAATGTAATGAAACACTATTATTTTCTGGGCAAAACCCGGAGGCTTCCTGAAGCTATCCAGACTGATGTGTGTTATATCAGTTTGGAGACATCAGTTACGGGAGTTCTTGCCTACTGGGGACTACGAGCCACAACTTGGCCCCCTAATGGCCTATGAGCACTCTACATTTAGAATATGTCATGTCTGCCATCGACCAGGGTATACCCCGGAGCACATAGGGAGCCGGTCAGCCGAGCGGACAGCACGCTGGACTTGTGATCCTGTGGTCCTGGGTTCGATCTCAGGCGCCGGCGAGAAACAATGGGCAGAGTTTCTTTCACCCTATGCCCCTGTTACCTAGCAGTAAAATAGGTACCTGGGTGTTAATCAGCTGTCACGGGCTGCTTCCTGGGGGTGGAGGCCTGGTCGAGGACCGGGCCGCGGGGACACTAAAAAAAAACCGAAATCATCTCAAGATAACCTCAAGATACCCCTAGAAAGGTAGGCATAACAATACAAACCTCTTAACTAGTGAAAATTGCAACCTACATCCAAACAGAGCCAAAGAACTCCCTCAAAAGAAAACAATTAAACAAGCCAATTGTCATTCATTTAGCACGCATGTACATAAATGCCCCCCCTCCCACCCACAGGGAGGAGGGCATTTTGAGGGGGGGCTCCCCCTCATCCCCAACAGGGATGAGGGGGAGCCCGCTCAGGCGAGCCGGCAGCTCAATCCTCCAGTTCGTAGAATAATGAATACCATTGACCGGGATGGGAGGGAGGGAGGAAGCCTCCCGGGCTTGCCCAGAAAATGGCATTTCATTACATTCTATGCTAGTTTTTTGTGTGGAGCCCTGTCGGCTTCCTGAAGCTAACTACCCACAAATAAGTACAGTGGTACCTCGGAATGCGATTGTCCCTGTATGCGAGGTTTTCGGAAGGCGAGGTGTATTTACTCCAAAAATTTGTCTCAGAAGGCGAGGGTTACTTCGGGAGGCGAGTTTGGACGCGAGTTTGTTGATACGCGTACAGCCGACCTAGCGCGTTCGTCGCCCCTCCGCCCCGCCGCCCCTCAGTTTATTATTGTCTGGCGCTCAGTGACTACCCCCACATCAATTCTTCTCGCGGATTTTCAGTGTTTTGTTGGATTTTTGGTGATTTGTCTATACAATTTGTTATTATATATCTCACCATGGGTCCCAAGAAAGCCAGTGGTAAGGATAAAGGCCAGAAAGCTCCTGTGAGGATGACAATAGAGGAGAAACAAGAGATCATTCGGAAGCATGAGAACGGTACACGTGTTGTTGAACTTTGTAGGCAGTACAACAAAGCCACATCAACAATATGCACTATACTTAGGAAGAAAAATAAGATTATGGGTGCTAAAGTGGCAAAAGGATTAAGAACATTAACGGCACAAAGACCACAAATACTTGAAGAAGTGGAAAAGTTGTTATTAATTTGGATACACGACAAGGAGTTGAGGGGTGATAGTGTTTCGGAGGCCATTATTTGTGAGAAAGCCAGGGTGTTGCACGAAGACCTTCTAAAGAATACCCCTGCAACGAGTGATGCAGATAAGAAAGAGTTTAAGGCAAGCAGGGGCTGGTTTGAAAAATTTAGAAAGAGAAGTGGTATCCATAGTGTTACAAGGCATGGGGTTATGTGATGTGATTATGGAAGGGGACTCCCCTTCCAAACAGTAACTCCTCTCCTCCTCCCCCCTCCTCACCATCTTCCATACGCCTACAGCACTCGACAGCAAGGTAAGTAATAACTGGAACACAGTTTTGTAAGTTTATTTAGATGAATTAGGTATAAAAATTTAGTTTGATGTGGGGTTTTTGGGGTAGTCAGGAACGGATTAATTCATTTCCCTTTATTTCTTATGGGGAAATTAACTTCGGAATGCGAGTTTTCGGAAGGCGAGGCGTCTCCAGGAACGGATTAAACTCTTATTCTGAGGTATGCCTGTAGAAGAAAAGACTTACTCGTGAGGCGGCAGCATGACAGGTCTCGGGACAAGGAAGAGGAAGACGGCCACTACAGGCGCCCCTAAGCCACACATGGCCGGGAAGGCACCGAAACGTTCACAAGATACTTTGCAGCCAGGACCCTGGTCGACTTCCAAAATCCCTATGCCTGAATGTCGATCCAAGACATGTTGCCAAAACCGCTACTAGAGCAGCATACTTCCGAACATCATGGGCACAAGGGTAAACTGCAGACTGGCTAGACTTAATGACACTGCAGACAATCTGAGACACACGAGCCCTGGAACAGGGAACCAGGGAAACTGGATCCACAGAAAGCGTCCACCATCACAGAACCAGTAGCCCACTGGTAACTGCATAAAGCCACCACTGGACCCAACACGTGTTGCACCCGCGGCCTAACCAACCAAGCATCCACAAGCAACGGACCCCTCCGGAAGCCACCCATCCCATTCTTCACCAGAAAAGGATGAGAAGACTGCAAACGAACAAAACGACCAACAGGACCAAACGAACAGCATCCCTGGCGTCAAGAGCAGAGCCTGAAGCTCCCCAACTCGACCCCCAAAGGCCAAGGCCAACAAAAACAAGGCCATCCAGAAGCAATTCCGAACCAAAGCCACAACAAAGCAAGGAAAAGAAAGAAAAGAAAGAACTCAATCCAAAGACCAAGAAGGATAAGGCGGTGTATGAGCAGGCCAGAGGCGAAAAAATGCACGAGAATACTTGCAGAACGGAGCGGAAGTAACATCCATCCCGAATGCAAACTGAAGCAACTCCTCCAGCGTCATGCGATAAAAGGCGACAGTATTAGGCATGAGATGCCGATCCTGAAAAAGCCGAGAGAGAAAGGGCAAAACAACCTGGTCTGAAATGAAAAAACCGGCGAAAAAAAAAGAAAATGATGCAAAAACCTCCAAGAAATGTCATCCTGTCGCAGAAGAAGATTGTAAGCGGACACCATCAAAGACGCCACCCGATCAGCATACAAATGGCGATACACATGCGTCAGAAGGACCAAACGTCTAGTGTGTGGCAGTAAGGCGAACCAGCAAGGTAACTTACTGGCTCAACCCGCTGAAAGAGGCGGAGACACAGGAAATGCCTCGGTTCGGACACCGAGCAAGCAGCTCATGAAACTAAGGCTGGGATAACCACCATAGAGCCAGAGAACCACTCTTCCATGATAAGAATCCAGCCGAGGCAGAACCCGAAGCAACAACTGGACCAGAGGGACAAAGGTACAGGAACCCCCATCTCATACAGTCCTGATGAAAAGCGTCTACCGTGATGGCCTCGCAATCTGGGAACGGTGTCACGTACAATGAGAGATGCCAAGACCACGTCAACGCGAAAAGGTCCACCTCCGGGCACCCGTATGCTTGACAAAGCCAAAGGAGGGATGGCGTCGACCGTCCACTCCAAGGAAAGAGGAATTAAGCACGACAGGCAGCATCCCAGTACGTTGAACACACCATGAATACAAATGGCACAGAAAGCTGTACCCAAAAACCCGGCAGAAAAGCCCCCCCGAAGTGATGACCAGCCCCAAAGACATGGACCAAAGAACACCCCCCCCCCTTCCCCCATTGAGACAATAAACCACAGGGGAGCAGTCAAAATGGGTTGGATCACTGAGCCCTGAGGAAGCTGGAACCGTCGCAGTGCCTGCCACACAGCTGCAAACTCCTGCACCATGCTGTGAGCTTGAAGGAAGGAAGACCCCCAATGCCCCTGGCCGGCTTGGTGAGCGCTGGTCACAAAGCCCCAACCGAGAGATGAGGTGTCCGGGGAACATATTGAGAAAAGGGAAAGAGGAAGGCGCCATCGCACCGAACCGCAAAAACCACAAAGAGGAAGCTGGACATGTAGCAACCAATGCAAGGACCCCAGGGAACGAACCAAGCAATCGCGAGAGCTGCGAAAGAGGCCGTTCCGAATACACCAGAACAGCTTCCAAAGCCAAACCCTGCCCAGCGGATAAAAGAGCAGGGCACAGTTCAGGCTGCCGCACAGCTGCTTGAGCAATCGCCGAGTGACCCGGATTCCTCCTCAAAATCAGCTGAAG